AAAAAAAAAAAAATCTCCGCTCGTCATCTTCTTCTTCTTCTTCTTCTTCTTCTTCTTCTTCTTCTTCTTCTCTCCTCCTCCACATCCCCCTCGTCTTCTTCTCCTCCCTCTTCTCTCCTCCTCCTCCTCTTCCGCCCATCTTCTTCTTCTTGGACCGCCATACCCTATTGGCATACCGCGCCGACATTTACCTCCACCGCCGCCGTAACCCTAGCCCCCATTCTTCTTCTTCTTCTTCTTCTTTTCTCCTCCGCCTCTCCTCATCTTCTTCTCCTTCCTCTTCTCTCCTCCTCCTCTTCCGCCCATCTTTTTCTTCTTCTTCTTCTTCTCCTTCTTCTTGTAACCATACCCTAACAGCATACCACGCCGCCATTCCCCTCCACGGCCGCCTTAACCCTAGCCGCCATTCTTCTTCTTCTTCTTCTTCTTCTTTTCTCCTCTGCCTGTCCCTCATTTCCTTCTCCTTCCTCTTCTCTCCTCCTCCTCTTCCGCCCATCTTCTTCTTCTTCTTCTTCTTTTTCTTCTTCTTCTTCTTCTCCTCCTCCTCCGCCTGGGTAGCGTGAGGGGCGGCGGGTGTAAAAAAAAAAAAATTCTTCATCTCAGACAACCCGTCCCCCCCCCCTCACACCAGACAACCCGTCCCCCCCCCCCTCACACCAGACAACCCGTCCCCCCTCCCAAACCAAAATTTTATTGCAGATTCGGGGTCCTCTCGCCGAGCACAGGAGGACCCCGCCTTCGAAAAATATATTTCTGGGCAGTTTTTTTGCCCGCCCGGTTTGCTCGAGCGACGCGCCCGGGCCCCGCCCGGCCGGGCGGCGTCCGTACTCAGCTCATTTTAGTTTTCAGGATTTTCAGGATTTTTCAGGGCCAGCCAAAACAGTCAACTCCAAGACCCCAACAAACACCAAACTTGGCACACATAGACCGTGACAAAAAATAAAACAGGGCAAAAGAAAAAAAAAGAAGTGAGGGTCCCTGTTAACCGCTTGTACGCTGTATAGATCGCATGAAGCTCACTCTCATATGTGGACCTTGCTAACTTTTGAAATGGCATCTTCTTTCTCATGTACTTGATGGGCCTCAACTTTTTCCCTTCCTTTTGCGCAAGGACTACGCCTATGCGGTATTGGCTGGTGTCTATGGTCACTACAAGAGGTTGATCAAGATTTGGAAGTTTAAGGACTTCATAGTGTGTCAGGGCATACTTCAATTTCTTGAAGCTCGCTTCACACTCTTCGATCCACTCCCAAGGGGTGTTAAGGTGGGTTAGGTCGGTTAATGGGGAAGCTATGGTACTACAGTTTTCGACAAACGGACAATGGTAGCCCGTCATCCCCAAAAGCAACCGGACCTCAGTAACAGTCCCAGGTCTGGGCCAGTCACATATGCTGGCCACTTTGGCTTTGTCCGGCCTCAACTCATCCGCATAAATTTCATGACCGAGGTACAACATCTTGGTGCGACCGAACTCACATTTCTCCTTGTTGACCTTGTATTGGTGCTGCTTTAGGAGACCTAGCACTGTTTCCAAGTGATCAGCGTGCTCCTCTGCAGTCTTACTAAAGATAAGGATATCGTCGAGGTACACGACGATAAACTTGTTTAAGTAATCATGAAAAATCCTATTCATCACATGCTGGAATGTCCCAGGTGCATTGCATAGGCCAAAGGGCATCACCACAAACTCGTACAGGCCTGATCCGGAAAACATTTTTGTGCTGGTCCTCAAGTCTAATGGCAATTGGATAGTATCCGTTGTGAAGTACCGGCATCCCTGCACTCTATCCAACAGGTCGTCGATGCGGGGTAGGGGCTCCGCGTTCTGAATGGTGATGGCATTGAGACCCCTATAGTCAATGCACATCCTTAGTGTACCTCCCTTCTTAGGAACGAATAAGATTGGTGCACCATAAGGAGAGGTACTAGGCCGAATCCATCCCTTCTCTGTGAGCTCTTTGAGGGAGCGGCGGAGCTCATCCCACTCCGCGGGAGACATCCTATAGATCCGTCTTCTAGGTACTTCGCTACCAGGGACGACTTCTATCGCATGGACAACCTCGCTTTCCACCACACCACAGGGCTCCTAAAAAATGTTTGAATACTGGGCAACAACTGCTTCTATCTCTGGGGGTGATTTTACGGCCTTCCCTTTCTCAGAGACAAAGACTAGGTTCACGCCCTCCTCGCAATTTTGCTTATAATACTTATAGAAAGAGGATGCACACATGCAACCATAGTTCTCCACTAGACTGATAGCTTTGAACTTTTGCGGTGTAACGGGGCTACCATTGGGCAACTTGTGGATCATCACCTTCATATCCCAATTGAATTGAGGCTGAGCAACCTCGAGGTAGTACGTCCCTAGTAGCATATCGAATGGCAGTTTGTCGCTAACTAGGAATGAGACCTTGTGTCTCAATTCCCCTCCTCCATAGGACGAGGTGCAGACTACGTCCATAACATAGTCTTCGACGGCCATGCTGCACTTGTTGGCGAGCGTAAATGCCACTTGGTCCCCTAAGCGCAGTTTGTCCACGGAAGCAAGACTGATGAAATTTCGTGTAGAGCCTAAGTTTGCTAAGGCGCCCACTTTTCGGCCACCTACATTAACCTCGACCACGAAATGTTCAAGCCTAGGACCTTTGCTAATCATCGCCTAAGAGTTTTTGGGGTCCTTCACTGACCACTCAGACTGTAACTCTTCTAGGGACTCGGACACATTTCTCGAACAAAGCATCGGTGGGTTTGAATGTGTCTGCGGGGCGATTGATGAGTCAATAGGCTTGGCGAACGCTTGAACTGGTGAAGCCAACGTTACCACTTCAGCACGAGTAAGAGTGGCTAACACTCCTACTGACCCAAGGTGTTTCCCTGAGAAGTGCTCGCAGAAGCACCACCAGGGTTAGAAGATAAGCCCACCACTGTTGGAGAGGCTACCTTCGTGGTGACCTTGCCTCGGCATGTCGTGGACGTGTGGCCATAGTTGCCACAGTTCAGACAAGTACCCCTAGCAACTTGGTCTCTCCACACCTCGTAGTCTAAACCAAGTTTCACCCATGTGGGTGTTCCTTGGTCGCCCAGACCCTTGGACCGACCTACCTTCTGCTTGCAAGTCCCCCTAGTCTTTTCCTTGATGGGCGCTACGACTCCCTCGTTCGAAGTCTCACTAGCCCCATCCTGCTTTGTGTCTTCCCCATAGTCAGGGAAGTCGTCAATCTCCGTCGCCTGACCATCATGGTCGATGAACATGAGATTGCCATTCCTCCTCCAGTCTTGGGGAAGTTTCTTCTTCCTACCATCTGTTTCACCCTGATAAGCGGACCCAAGCTTAGCCTCTATGTCTAAGGCTTTCTTGTCGAAAGAAGCGAAGTTATGGACGTTGATGTTGGCCTCATCCAACAACTTATTCTTGACGTCTGTAGGCAGACATCGCAGATACTCTGAGAGGAGTGCGGTACCGTTTGGAACCGAGACTGTTGATTGCGTCAGTGGTCTTCTGAGCCCCTTGAGGGTCATGCCACCTGTTGTACACAGCATGTACCACGTCCTCCACTGTTTGGGCCTGGGCCCAGGCATCGAAGTTCTCACCATAGCTCTGTTGATGCACTAGACCATTTAACCATCGAGCTGCAGATCCTTCTAAAAAGGAGGCAGCGACTATAACTTGTTGCTTTGACCTCATGAGCTTGTGCCTCACATAGGTAGGCACAATTCTCACCGAAGTGTCCAGGTTCTCATCCTTTTTCCTGTTGCCAGAAAAAAGGTTCAGGACTCAGCAAGGGAATTTTGGGCATCCACTGCATAGGCTGGATTGGCCCAAGAGATTGCTGCGCTGGCTGCATAGCCATTGAGACAGGTTGCTGCATGCTAACGTGAGCTTGCCGTGGCGATGGGACTGTAGCTGCCACCGTCCTCGAAGGTACAGCAGAAGTTTTATGGACCGGAACACTAACTGCTACTAAACCACCTGAAGGAGGCATGCCAAACATAGGAGAGGAGGAGGGCCCTACCGGTGATGGTGTCACTGTGGGAGCCACAACCAGAAGGGGAAGCTACGGAGTACTGAGGCTGCATCATCACTGGACAAGGAGCCTGCAGTGCAGCCAGAATCCGGTCCCGACCGGCCACTAGTTGAGCCAGTACTTCCTGCTGGACAACCTGCGTTTGTGCCATGCATAGCAGCGAGCGACGCATGCTTGTATTGCGGAATCCAATGTCGACTCATCCAGTTCTTCTAACTTTCCTAGCTCCTACCTTCTAGTTCCTAGTCTAGCCTTTCTCATTATCATGCTGTGTGTTCTCTCTGCTGCTTTTCTCAACTGCTGCTGAAGCTCATCATGAAGGGCTTCCACTTGGAGGATCTCATAATCCTCCGGTGTGAGAGTGTCTGCAGGCTGACTTGCAAGCCAACAGCTTGACTGATGGAACGTTGAGTAACCCCCTGAATAACTCTTGACGAAGAGGCCTGGGACAAGGCCTGTTACATGCTATAGGCGGTAGCCATTGCTGCCTCGAGGCTGGTTGCTGCTTCCCTAGACCTCTTTAATGCCACCCTCTCCCTGGCTTCCTTTCGCAGCCTCCTTTCCTCTCCTCGTCCTAACTCTTGGAAAGTGATCGATCGACTGAGAGCTGTTCTACGTGAAATTGTTACACTAATCGTTCCTCCTCCCCCGTACTGCCTTTCTCCCATGAGCTACTGTGGAGTGTGGTCTAAACTAGAATCCACACTGGATCCTACCTAGGCATAACACCCAGCCGAGTATTATTTTCTATTAGTTTTGGTCAGCCTAGATAGTCAAGTGGTAAACAGCAACTAATGTCAAATCCTACAGGTAACAATATTTCTATTTTTAGATTACTAACACAGAATGCAATGCAGCAAGGAATGATCTATCCTATCTGCAGCTGTTTGGCAATTGTCACCAAGTCCGTACAACTAAATAATCAAAAATAAAGATAGTTTACCTGTGTGGATATATGTTGGATGGCAGTTTATCTAATTAGTAATACAGCCAACAGTTGCCGGAATCCCCCCCCTCCCTGTATTCCTCTTGAGAAGTCACTTTGTGTCAACGCCCTCAGTATTTGGTTGAGCGGCGTGTTTGAAGGTGTGCAATCCGGCCCACCCCTGTGCCTGCAATCAGACTGATTTTCTTTCACACTCATATGCATGCTAACAGGAACATAGCAAACTGGGGACAAGTGCCGACACAAAACTCAGAGATATGGCAACTCAAATAAGACTTCGCGTTCAATGGCTATGGCGACTAGCGCCCAAACAACTCTCTGTTTGCGTACAGCGGATCACCCTGGATATCCCACATGCAATACTCTGCACTCACACAATACACACACACACTACACACTAACTCTAGCTATGGCGGCTATGTCTGCAACTGCCCTATCGCTATGCTACGCTCGTTCTCTCTCTCCCACTTCAGCTTCGGGCTCACTGCAGACCTCCTTGCACAAGTCGCTTGTGGCAGCGCTTCCACATGGCTCACACTGGAATGAATTTCGTGGCTGGGCGCTGCCTCTTGATTTATACTTCTGAAACTCGTTGGTCTGCCCTTTTCCATCGGCCCATGGTGCTCACAGTCCCTTCGTGGTACTTGCTGGACCGGATTGGGACTAACAGGACCTTATCGCTGACTGAATGGGGACTCACTGCTAACCTACCGAGGTCGTACTGCAATCGCACTGCAGTTAGTCCACCACTTGACTCACCACTTGCCCACTTGCCCACTTGCTGACCTTCTAGAAGGACTACAACTAAGACATCTGGAACTCGCTAAGACTTTTATTCTACAGATCGACAGATCGAACCCCTGCTACCTACGGACCTATGACAGCCTACCAACTGTTTACGAATACACAGGTCACAGGTTCAACTCTCGGGGTCTACACAGGTATTGTACACGGGTAGGGCAAGGTCTAGGGATCAAGCTTTGGGATCTGCATCTGCTACTGCAAAGAGGTGAAAACCGTTTCACTCCTGCCATCCTAAATTCGAGGTCCTCCGAGAACATTTCAGTCCAAGGCAGGACCTTTACTCTTCTTATCACGCTCATAGGCTCTGACTATGTCGGGAGCTGTTTCTAGAAGTTTTGTTTTAGTAAACCAGCGGGCGTCTTCAGGTTCCTGATAAGCAAACCGGACCTTGTACTATTTTTGGGGACGACCTCTACCTCCTGTCCTGAACACATCTTCATCTACAATGCTGTCAATGTCACATCTTCCATCCATATTCGGAGGGATCATGGATCTTCTTGAAGGGAACTGTTGACTTGTGACACACGACAACAACTTTGAGGCATGGAATACAGGGTAGGTGTGGAGGTGTGCTGGAATCTCTATAGTGTAGGACGGTCCATCCTCTTCGCCCTTGACTTCTAGAACCGGCCACGGTCCTCTATAGGCAGGCAGTAACTTCTGCGAGATGTTTTCCTCAGGTGGAAATTCTTCAGACTTGACCTAGACTAGGTCGCCTACTTGGAACTTAGACGGGCGACGGTGCTTGTTTGCCTGTTCTATCATCCTGTGCTGGGCCTTCCTGAGGTTTTCAACAACTGTAGATCTTTCTTGTGCTGTATCGCAAACTCCCTGGTACGGGGTGGTACCCTGTGAATCTGATCCCGGTCCAGTCCTTCAAACGGTCTACACGGGATAAAGGATTTGTGCAGCTCATTGGGAGTGCGACAGGTGGACAGATGCACGCTGTTATTGTATGCACTAGCTACCTAAGGTAACATCTCATCCCAGTTAATCTGGTCTGGTGTAATATACATGCGTAGAATTTGTTGTAGGATCTTGTTCATTTGCTTCGTCTGACCATTGGTCTCTAGGTGGCGGCCAGACGACATTAACAACTTAGATCCGTAAACTCCCATGAGTTCTTGCTAGTTCTGGCTGGTGCAACGACTATCTCTATCGCTAACTATTGACAATGGAAATCCATTCTCACTATCCCAAAAATCAAAAAACTTTTGAATTAGCAACTTTGTACGTGCCTCTGTAGGCAAAGGAACGAAGACAACATACTTGCTACATCGGTTAACTACAACCATGACTTGGCTCTGGCCGTCCCTACTCTTGACACCGGCATCCATAAAGTCAATGGAGACTGGGTCTCCGGGCTGGTCTGGGATATGCAAGGGTCTGAGAAGACCTAGAGGGGCACGTGTAGTGGCCTTGTTTCGCTGGCAAACTTTGCAACTGCAAACATACTCTATGCAGTCAGCTTTCATTCCTGGCCAGGTATACGCGCGCATCAGATTGGCTAAAGTCTTTTGCCAACCGAAATGTCCCTCTATGTCATGGCATTCCCCTAGGATCAGAATACGGATCTCCTCACTATTGAGAACGCACAAGCGGTCAAATACATTAGTCTTCTCGAATAGTATACCCTCTGTAGTGCGGTAATCTGGCTTTGTCTCTGGGGCCTCCTTGACTCTCTTGAGGAGGTCACTATAAATAGGGTCCTGCGCATATGCCTGTCTAACTTTCTCTTGCAGGTCTCTCCCTATATCCAGATAGTCTGATCTCCTACTCAGAGCATCCGGAATTACATGTACTTGCCCTTAACTGGTTTGAGCTCAAAGTCATATTGGTCTATCTCTGCGGCCCACCTAGTCAGCTTAGGTGTCATTTTGGCCTGGGTCTTTAACCATCTAAGAGTTTCATGGTCCGAGTATACTTTGAAGTGCCTCCCAAGCAGGTAATGCTTCCAGTGCTCTAGAGCCTGCCTGAGAGCATAGAGTTCCCTCTCATACGTCGAGGTAGCAACCTTCTCTGAGGGCATCCTCGCTAACATGAACTTTACGGGTCTGTAGCCATTGCCGTCGTCCTGCTGTAACACGGCGCCTATACCATACTGACTCGCGTCCGTGGTGACGACAAATGGCAAAGACGGATCAGCTACTTTGAGGATAGGGTACTCTATCAACACGCGCTTTAACTTCTTTAGCGCAGACGTACAATCCTTGTCCCACTGCCAAATTGCTTCTTTCTTTAGCAACCTGCGCAAGGGAGTTTAGTGGAGAAGTTCCTCACGAATTTCCTGTAGTAGGTAGCTAGGCCTAGAAACGACCGCAACTCTATCAACGTGCGGGGCGTTGGTCACTTTCTAATTGCCGCTATCTTACTGTCCTTAGGCTTGATGCCATCTCCGTCTAATACGTGTCCCAAGTACAGGACTTATGTCTTGGCCCACTCGCACTTCTTTGCGTTGATCTTGAAGTTAGCCTCTCATAGCTTCTCCAAGACCTGCCTCAAATGACCCTGATGCTCTTGGAGGGTCGTGCTGAAAACCAAGATGTCATCTAGGTAAACTACCACAAATCTATCTAACCACGGTCTAAACAGAGCGTTACAACGCTGAAATGTAGCTGGCGCGTTGGTTAGTCCAAAGGGCATTACTATAAACTCATAGTGCGCATCTAGTCCGGAACGCAGTCTTGTACAGGTCATCAGGACGGACCTCTATCTGATGGTATCTGGACTTCAGGTCTATCTTAGAGAAATAATTACAACCCTGCACCCGATCTAGAAGATCGTTTATCCTGGGCAGCGTCTCAGCATTCTTCACAGTAATCGCATTCAAACCCCTATAGTCTATACACATACGCAACTCTCCTTCCTTCTTGGGAACGAACAAAACTGGTGCTCCAAAAGGAGACGAAGTGGGCTTGATCCAACTTTTCTCAAGGAGCTCGTCTAACTGCTTGCGTAGCTCCTCTAACTCTCTAGGGGACATCCGGTAGACTGCTCCCTTAGGAGTTTTTCTGCCAGGCTCTATCTCTATCATGTGTTGGATGGGTCGTGGCACTTTTCCTGTCGACGACTCAGTTAAGTCTTTAAACTCTTCAAGCAACTTGGCTATGGTTGGATCTGTGGAACTCACCTCTTCCTTAGGCTCAATGACAGGTCTAACGTACACTACAAAGACCTGGTCCTCTAACTGCTCCTTTTTCACTAGTCGCGCGAACGCGGGAGCACTGAGACAGCAATGTGCCAAGGTGTTGTCTACACCTGACACATGGAACACGCGGGCGGTCTTAACATCGCTTGACGGACTAGGGAGCGTATACTCATGCTCTCTCAAATGGAGTGTGGCCCCTGCTGCCTCTCCCCAATCCATTCCTAACACTATGTCGAAAGGAAGGTCATCCTGAACGAGGAGAGTCAGGGAATGGAGAACTTTTTCCACATTCCCGTCCTTCTCTAGGCGAAAGTACGCCTGGACTCCCTACTCAACTCGCATAGTGCGGTTGTCTACGAGGACACTGACTATGGGGTCTGCTAACTTTTGGACTTTTAATCCTAGCCTTAGCTTCTTCAGCGCTCTACTGCTAATATAACTACGGGTCGCCCCTGAATCTATAAGGGCCCCTACTCTGCTTCTAAACACTTTAGTTGTCCCTTACTCTCCTTCTTCATTTTGACCCAGGCTGGCATCCTCTCCTTCAACTCTTTTGCCACGCCTGTGAGGGACGTGCCGAGGGAGACGCTAACACAGGCAATCTCTGGACAGCTAGCTAGGCACGGGCCTGCAACCTCTGCCGTAGGCTCATGTGGTTTGGGAGTTTCCTTTATGCGCATGCTCGCTTCCCCACATGGCCTTGAAGTAGGGGCAGTTGCGACCCTTGCTGTCGGCTGCCTTTTGACTGTTGAGTAGCCCATTGGGCCTCTCTGTACTTAGGACAATTTGATAACGTGGGCCGGGTCACCACAAAACACGCACTTACCCAAGCCTACGCGTTCCTGCCATATTCGCTGGTCCAAGCCCAAATCTTCCCAGGGCCTGCCTTGTGGCAAGCCTGGGCGCCATCCTCCTTGAGGTGGCCTTCCACCTCGTCGTGGTGGGGACCGACAAGAACCCTGACGATTTGGCGAGGGACCTTGACCCCTACCTCCCACTTGGCGGTTCCCTTGTCCGCCAACCCCCTGTGCGCCCAGTCCTCGGCCTCCCATGGCCTGGCCCCTTTGGCCCTGGCCTCCTCCTCCACCTTGAGGTCTCCCTCCAGCCGCGATAGCCGCATAGGATCTCCCTTGCCCTACACTGCTGTCCTCTTCCTCGAGACCCCACTCGATCTGGCAATATGGGACCTCGTTTGTACCACCTTCTTCTAAAGTTAGGATCATATGATCCTTGGCCATCACTTGGCCTGAGATGGTACAACCTTTCCACTTCTTCCCCTTATCTAGGTCCTTGTGCCCTAAAGTGGACACTGGCATGGACTTTGACTCGAACAAGATGACTTCTCTGCTCAACACATCATACGTGATGCCGACCTGTTGAGACTTGTCAAAGAAGTGCCCACGCAGGGGCTCTAGCATGGCACGATAAAATAACTGGACCAATTGGGTCTCAGTGACTCCATGGTTTGGGACGGCTACCAAGTCGTCCATGACGCCATGGAGTGCTCTTGCACTTGTCCACTGTCGTGAGTGGGTGGTCTTTAGCTTGTAAGAGGCTCTAACGCCTCTCATTGGGTCAACGAATTTCTCCCTGAGGAGTTTGAAGAATTGAGGAAGGGGGGTGACTTTGGAATATGCAACCAGGTTATTTTCACAATTGACTGCGCGCGCAAGTGATCTGGCAAAACTGGCCGCTTCATCTTTAAGGGCCTGGAAGGTGACGAGGACTTGCTCCTCAGTCAGGATGTGTTGTAAGTACACGTAACTATTAACACTAACCTCCCAGTTATCAAAGTTCTCCTCCTTCTTTCGCCCATATGCATCTGGATACTTGAGCTTTACGGGCTCATTACGATGCTTGGCCTCACTCTCAACAACGGCTACTGCTTTGGCACCCTCTATGGCGCCTTCGCAGAACTTCCCCACATTGTCCCTCAATCATCGGACTTCTCCTCCAAATAGGTGACTATGTCGCGAGGACAGTCTCGAAAACCTGACCTCATGGCACTCAGGGCTACATCTCGACTCCAACTAGCCTGGCGCTCCTCCATCCAAGCTGCACTCAACACTTTTAAATACCCCAACATCTTATCCATTTTGGCAGACATGTGTGTCTGCGCTTGTACCTCCTGTCTGCGATCCCTCACTTTCGCCACTTCTGCGGTCAATCTGTTAACCTCCTCCCTCTTTCTCTTCTTCTCTCTCTTCATCCTCAACTTCCATTCCAACTTCTCCTCCTCCTCTATTTCTTGCCTCTCCAGGGGGTCCTTAATCGCTGCTAGCTCACTGGCTAACGCATCCCTCTCGTCTTGGGGCACACAAAACTCTGCCTCCTCATCTTCTCCCAAAGATAAATTAGCAACCCACTCGCTGATTTTCTTCTCCATTGTGGCGTCCTCATTCGCCATGCCAGTACTCTCTCCTTTCTCTTCCCTGCGTTTCCTCTCTTCTTCTGCTTCTGCTGCCGCTTCCTCTTCAGCAGCCTTCTTCTTCTTCTCCGTCTCCTCCAATTCCTTCATCTTCGCCGCCTGCTCCTCTGCAATCGCTTTTAACTTCAATGTTTCAGGAGCTCTTTCCTCTCCTTAGTCTTTTACTAAGGCGGCCATCTTCTCTTGCTGTTCCTGGGTATAGGGGCTAGTGCTCTTCCCACTACGAAGGTCAACCATGGTGATAAGTGCACAACCGAGCCAACGGTTCCAAACCTCACCACTTAGACGCTAACCCCTGACTGACAAACCTATTGACTCAATCTAAGACTCACAGAATCCGGACAAGGATCCTGTCAACTAAGGTCTCTAACCTAGACCTACACTATGGCTGTCACTACTAGACCTGTTGCTGATCAGGAGGCATTTAAGGAGATCCCCCGAAACTCCTCAGGATGTATTTAATGTCACAGATAGGACGACGCAATCAGCAGGTCTCTTGGTAGCCCACAGCTCGGATTTTGGGCCTACCGTGCCACACCGAGCAGCCCGCCGGTCAGTACCGGTTCTTGGGAGGTTAGGCCTCCGGGACAGCCGAGTCGTCAGACACAATTTTTGGCCCTACTCAGCCCGTGTGGGTTGGGTCAACAAGGCCCTATCCTCCATCCACAGAGTACTATCACCTAGACAGAAGAGACTAGATGCAGAAAGAAGAGACAGACAGATTGGACAGTAAGTACCACAGGGTGTGTGCGCATCCATAGGGCGAGGGATAGGTTGAAGGCTTGGCGAGATTATACCGGCTCCATCTTGGTCAAACTCTTGGTCAAGGCCGGTCAACGTTGTGGTCAACCCCCGATCACCTCCGGTCAACGCTTGGTCAACTGTCCCCGGTCGGCTATGGCAGTCGGCATCTCTTTCCCTCACCAACCTTCCTCTTTTCTTCACTTTCCTCGCCTCCTTACACCCCGTCTGTCTTCTTCTTCTCTTTTTTTTTTTTTTTTAATCGGCTCTCTCTTCACCTCTCGACTATGGCTTCCCTCACTTTGCTCGGTCTCTTCCTCTCTGTCCTTTCTCACCCTCCTTCGTCACTCCGTGATCAAGCTTCGCGGCTATGGCCGCAATTTTCTTCTTCGTGGGTCTTCACAGCAACTTCACATGTTCGTGACAACCAAACTTGTATCGCTCATCTCTCTCTCTCTCTCTCTCTCTCTCTCTCTCTCTCTCTCTCTCTCTCACCGTAGTGGTATCTCCAGCGCAGCAGGTACGTAGTAACCCAATCTTGTATCGCTCAACCTTTCCCTCTCTCTCTCTCTCTCTCTCTTCTTCGTCGTGGCCTTCTCTGCAGGTGCGCGGCGGCTTCTCCAACCTTCAGGTCCGCTATGGCGGACTATGACTCTCGCTCACCTCTGCTATGGTGCATCACTCCTGCGACACAACTCAACGCGTGGAATAGCGGGTACCAGCTCCGATACCAATGCAATTAGACTCGTTTTCTTTCACACTCACATGCATGCAAACAGGCGCACAGCAAACTGGCGACAAGTGCCCACACAGAACTCAGAGATATGGCAACTCATATAAGACTTCGCTTTCAATGGCTATGGCGACTAGCGCCCAAACAACTCTTTGTTCGCATAGAGCGGATCACCCTGGATATCCCACACGTGATACTCTGCACTCACACAATACACACACACACGCACACACACACACCACACTAACTCTAGCTATGGCGGCTATGGCCGCAACTACCCTATCGCTATGCTACGCTCCTTCTCTCTTGCCCACTTCAGCTTCGGGCTCACTGGAGACCTCCTTGCCCGAGTCGCTTGTGGCAGCGCTTCCGCATGGCTCACGCAGGAATGAATTTCATGGCTGGGCGCTGCCTCTTGATTTATACTTTTGAAACTCGTTGGTCTGCCCTTTTCCATCAGCCCATGGTGCTCACAGTCCCTCGTGGTACTTGCTGGACCGGACTGGGACTAACTGGACCTTACCGCTGACTGAATGGGGACTCACTGCTAACCTACCGAGGTCATACTGCAATCGCACTGCAGTTAGTCCACCACTTGACTCATCACTTGCCCACTTGCCCACTTGCTGACCTTCTAGAAGGACTACAGCTAAGACTTCTGGAACTCGCTAAGACTTCTATTCTACAGATCTACAGATCGAACCCCTGCTACCTATGGACCTATGACAGCCTACCAACTGTTTACGAAGACACAGGTCACAAGTTCAACTCTCGGGGTCTTCACAGGTATTGTACACGGGTAGGGCAAGGTCTAGGGATCGAGCCCTGGGATCTGCATCTACTACTGCAAAGAGGTGAAAACCGTTTCAGTGCCCCAAGTCTATGCTAAGCCTGCCAGCCCCTGCACGTGGCTCACCCTTGCATGCAACGAGCCTTACTTCTGGTTTGATCTGGCTGATTAAGAGGTATTTTAAGGACAACCCCCAAGGTCCTCAGGAATTATTTAACGTCGCAAACAGGATGACGATCACAACCAGGGTTCAACCGGAACCCGCCAGATATGCTTATAGACGGTCTGGTAAGCGTCTCTCAAAGGGCTGGCATGCCCAGCATGACCTCTATTGCGCAGCAGCAGAACCAAGGACTGGCGGCAAAGCTTGCGTGTACTAGTCCCAGCAAGTTGGCATGGTGACCATGACCTGAGTGCTTTGTCCAGGGCCCTTCAGAGGCTTCACCCGTCTCCCACCAGCTTGCTGCCCAGGAAGAATGTCGACTCTCAAGGTTGAGCGCTTGCAGCCTCTCACATTGAGAGGACTCTCAAGACAAAACTCACTTCTTAACGGTAAGAAGTAATGAAGAGGGTAAATAAGGAAGAGAGCAACATACCTCGTAATGCTGCCCCCAACCTCAGATTTCTCACCGGCATTCTGACGCGCATTTATGATAACCTGTCCTGCCTCGGCACAACAAACAGCGAAATGCAGTTCCACCTCGGCTTAAATGCCACGTCAGCGAGCTCTCATCATCCAATGTACACCCCTATGTCCCCTCATAGCCTTCCCGGCGTGCCCACACGACCCTTGGCCGCCTATCGTTCAACGCCCAAGCCTTCTCACTGCCCCACACCTCATGCGAAGCACTGAATTGCTATTGCGAAGAACCAGTAAAGCGCAGTTCGAATCGGCTCCGATACCAAATTGCAAGGAAAATGAGCAATAGCGAGATAACAAAATCCAGTTTGCACATTCACATTGAAAGCCAGATTGTATCACAGTGTCCAAAAAGCAGCATTGCACCAATATAACACCAATGGAGAATCGTAACTCTGAAAAACGATTGTCAATGAGGGTTGGCCCTTCTCCCTACTTGGCGCTCGGCGCCCAGCCGACTCCCTACACAGCTACTGTCTGCCTACTAATTGACAATGCAACTGTTTATGTCACCAGCCAATGAAGTACTTGAAGATGTCGACCAATGCAGACCATCGCCAATACCAGGTATGTGCCCTCACATCCTCCTCCTCCTCCTCCTCCTCCTCCTCCTGTTTTCTTCCTTGACTTTCACCCATGTCTTCCCTCTATACACCCGAAGAACAACCCTGCACCTTGCTGTACGTCCAAGCCCCAGTCGGCTATGGAGGCCAGGTTGTGGCGCTGCCCTGAGCAGCACCCTTCCTCGTACATGACCGCACGTGCGCAGCACCTTGCCTTAGCACAAGCAGCAGCCCGCGAGACTCTGCTCCAGCAGCGCTACCGCTAGCTTGCATGTGCCCGAATGTCGTGCCTGGCCACGCGCTCTTTCCTATATGGAAGAGTTCTGACCAGGCCTGCGGCTTGGCTGGGCCGGGTCTGCACCCAGAAGCTTCTGGTAGGCCTCAGGTGGCTGGGCCTCTGCTGCAATTACTAGGCCTCGTTTAGTTGGGCCTCCCAACTGTCTTCGTATGTTGCTGCGAATCCTGCCCAGGGCCTGGCTTTCAGAAAGGCCTGGAAGGCCGTGGAAATTCTTTTGCTCGAGTCCTAGGTTCCCTCAACCAACTTGTGCGACACAACTGTCTGAACCCTGCGTATGAAATTCACAGCATTTGGGCCTCTTGCAAGGAACATGAATATGGACGAAGCACAGAAATCGAGAATGCAAAATCACACTCAAGTCCAAGTAGTCAAAGCCAAAGCAGATAGTACAATGGAACCGAGTAACCATCCAATTGAGAATGATACAGAAGAATCGTGAGTCAATGTCCATGCCCAACAGGGCAACACCAACAGCATAACCCAAATGTAGCTCTCTCTTGTGAATGGCGCCAGGCGCCCTATCTACTCTACAGCCTATCCTACAACTACAGCAATGAAAGCAATCAAACAACTCGACTACCAGCGAGCGATGATGTCAACACCAATGCCGACCTCCACCTCCACCAGGTACGTGTCCTCTTCACCCACACTCTTCCCCGTTACCCACACAACGCCCTTCACCTCCGAAGACCACCTTCGCCCTTCACCCTCACTGCACCCTTGTGCGGCCCGGCTATGGCCGCCAGTGCCCTGGTGCGCAGGCAGCGCCCTACCGCCTAGCGCTGGCCTGCCTTGCACCTCTCTTAGCGCAGCGCAGCAGCAGCAGCAGCTCGCATTAGCGCAGTGTGCCGGCATTGCCTGCAATGGCCAAGATCCCTGCCCACTCGCCCTGCTTGCCTATATGCCAATGCAGCGTGTGGGCGGCCTCCCTTCAGCCTGCGACCGGGACCCAGAGGCTGAACCCAGCCCGATACAGTTGGGCCCCGGGGCAATGCAGTTGCGCCTCCTTCATCAAGGCCTGCGGCCAGATTCAGATAGTGGGCCGATTTCCCTTTGGCATTTTCGGCCTCTATACCCAGCACGCATTGTCGGCCTCACGTTCGAGGGCCCAGAGCCTAACTAACTCAAAGGCCTTGGGCTTTCAGCATTTGCTGAAATCCGAGACTCGGAGCACTCCAACCAACTAGCGTGCTGCAACTGTATGGACCCCACTTCGTGAAATGTTGGCACAGAGGGCTCTTGTTGATTTGCTGGCCCGCCTTCACTTAGGGCGGGCACGAGGCTTTCTGGGGCCTTAGCCCAAAACATGTACATCATGGCAAGGCCCCTACTTGAGGGCTCAATCCTCACATTCCATCCCCCTTAGCTTCGAAAGCCCGCTGAGATGCTTACTTCGCAGGTGCTTTCGCTTTTAGCTTCCGTTCATAATCTGCCACCACCTGAGGAGCTGTTTCCATCAGTACCTCCCGGGTAAACCACCAATCTTTTTTTGGATCCGTATGATGCCTGAATCTGATCCGGTACTCCCTCTTGGGTTTAGGTCTTCCTCGACCTAGCGGCTTCGGAACAGGCATATCCCTGTGATCCACAATGTCGTCGATGTCAACTTGTCCATCCATGGTTGGGGGCAGCATCGATCTCCTGGAAGGGAATTGATCAGTCTTAGCGAAAGGTGCAAGCTTTGAGGCATGAAAGACTGGGTGAGTGCGTAGGTGTCCAGGGATACGAATGACATACGTAGGACCATCCATTTCATCTCCCACTACATCCAAGACTTCCCAGGGACCAAAGTACTGAGGCATTAGTTTGCGAGATATTCCGAACTCCTGTCCTGGCTGTCTCTGGCATTGGTCTTCCACAAGTCACTTGTGAATCGGACATCTCGGTCACTAATGATTGACTTTGGTAAACCAAAGTCACGCACCCAGTTGTCTTTGAACAACTTGAAGACATAGTCAGTTCTTGCGGTCTCTCGCATAGCCACTAGTCTAGCGTACTTGGTGAATCGGTGAATGATGACGAAAATGTGCCTCTTACCACTCTTGCTGGTCACTAGGGTGTCCATGAAATCCATGGAAACACTCAATCCTGGACCATCAGGAATAGGTAAAGGCTTCAACAACCCAAGCGGTGCTTGAGTTAGCGGCTTGTCCCGTTGACAGACCTGACAGGTCTCAACATACTTCTTTGCGTCATCTAGCATTCTAGGCCACCAAAATCGTTGTACTAAGTTAGCACTCGTCTTCTTGTAGCCAAAGTGCCCAGTTGCGTCATGACATTCGCCTAAAAATAAACTACGCAACTGTCCACTAGATGGAACTACCAATCTCTTTATTTCGGCCTTATCAAGATAGATTAGCCTGTCCACCATCACAAAGTCACTTTCTGTGGCCTTGTCTTTTGCCTGAAGTTTGCGGATGATGTCCATCATGACAGGGTCTTCATGATAGGCTCCCACCAATGATTGAGTTACTTCGTTAGATACGCCAAAGTTAAAAACTAGCGCACCTAGGTAGTCTGCTCTAAGGGATATCGCGTCTGCAACCTTGTTGTACTCTCCTTTCAGGTACTCAAGCTTGAAGTCATATTGGTTTATGACCTCAATCCATCGCTTGAGTGCATCAGAAAGAGCCAGTTGAGTCTTGATCCATTTGAGGGTCTGATGATCAGTCCTCGGATAGAAGAACCTTCCCAAAAGGAAGTGTCTCCAGTGGACAAGTGCCTTGTAGAGAGCATAGAGTTCCCTTTCGTAGGTGGACTTAGCCAACTTCTTCGATGGCATCTTCTTACTCATGTACTCAATCGGTCTCAACTTTTTCCCATCCTGCTGAACCGGCACTGCGCCAATGCCGTATTGGCTTGCGTAAGTGGTCACTATGAATGGCTTCTGCGGATCGGGAACCATGAGAACTTCATGATTCATGAGTGCATGCTTCCATCTCTTGAAAGCACCCTCACACTCTTCACTCCAGTCCCATGGTGTGTCAAGTCGAGTTACATCAGTCAAAGGAGAGGCGACTGTAGAATAGTTCTTAACGAAGTTTCTATAGTAGCCGCACATTCCTAAGAATGACCTGACCTTAGTGATTGTCTGAGGTCGTGGCCAGTCTCGAATACTAGCCACCTTCACATCTTCCGGCCTAATTCCCTCCGCGGATACTTCATGACCCAAGTATAGTATCTTAGTGCGGTCAAATTCGCACTTCTTCTAAGTTGACCTTATACTTGTGCTGTCGCAGGAGTGAGAGTACTTTCTCAACATGTTGTGCATGCTCCTCGGCATTCTTACTAAAGATCAGAATGTCGTCTAAGTAGACCATGACAAACTTATCTAAATGATCATGGAAGATCCGATTCATAGCGTGCTAGAACGTACCCGGCGCATTACAAAGACCAAAGGGCATCACTACAAACTCATACAGACCATAACGTGTCTGAAAAGTTGTTTTGTGTTGGTCCTCAGGTCTTATTGCGATCTGGTGATATTCGGATTTCAAGTCTATCTTACTATAGTACTTGCATCCCTGCACCCTATCCAATAGGTCGTCAATGCGAGGTAGAGGCTCTGCGTTCTTCACAGTGATGGCATTGAGGTCTCTATAGTCAATGCACATCCTCAAAGAACCCCCCTTCTTCGGTACGAATAGTACGGGTGATCCGGAAGGGGAAGTACTAGGCCAAATCCAACCCTTCTCTGTCAGCTCCTTAAGTTGTCGCCAAAGTTCATCTAACTCGGCGGGGGTCATCCTATAGATCCCCTGGAATGATTTTTATAGTGTGGACGACTTCCCTTTCAACAACTTTTGTGGGCTCCTCGAACAGATCAGGGAATTTAGCAAAGATGCGTTCTATCTCTGGGGGTGTTTTAACGGCCTCCCCTTTTTCAGAGACATAAACAAAGTACATACCCTCCTCTTGGTTTTGCTTGTAGTAATTGTAGAACGCTGATGCACACAAGCAGCCATAGGTATCTACAATACTGCTGGCCTTGAACTTAGTCAATCTGAAAGTTCGGCCATCGGGCAACTTATGTCTGAGCACCTTCTTATCCCAGTCAAACTGGGGCTCAGTAACTTCGAGGTAGTACATGCCTAACAACATGTCAAATGGTAAGTCGTCGCTAACCAAGAACGAGATCTTATGGTAAGCTCTCCTCCTCCATAGGCGAAGGTACAGACTACGTCCTTGATGTAGTCCGTTACAATCATGCGCTCCTTGTTCGCCAAAATAGATGGTACAGGTCTACTAAGGTGCCGTACCCGGTCCTGTAGGTGCAGCCTTTCCAAACAGTTGCGACTTATGTAATTCCGTGTGGAGCCTATGTCTATGAAGGCACCACATTTGCGGCCTCCTACATCGACTTCCACCACGAAATGTTCCCTTCTAGGAYCTTTCCTCAGCGCCACCCAAGACTCGCGAGGGTCCTTGTTTGACCACTCACCTTCTAAGTCTTCTAAGGCTTCAGACACATCTAATGTACAAAGCATAGTTTGGTCTAGTTGTGTCTGCGGGGTGACTAAGGGGTCATTAGCCTTGGCCTTGTCATGAAATGAGGAGGGTATCAATCCCACTTCATCTTGAGTAGAAGCAGCTAATACTTCCACTTGTGTTTCCCGATCTAGAAGCCTGGGAATAAGATGCCCCCATTTTCAGAGCAACCTTTTGCGTAACCTAGCGTTCTGGCACTTGTACTGCGTGTGTCCGTATTCCCCGCAGTTGACACAAGCGCCACGCGTTCGGCGGTCACGCCACACCTCTTGATCAAGACATGCCTTAACCCACTTAGCCTCTTTGGTCTGATTGGAGGCGGCCTTCCCTTGACCCCTAGGTTGGTCCTTCCCTCGGCCAGCCGCCTTAGTCTTGACTATTGCGGCGAGGGTGCTACCCTCAGCTACCTCCTCGCCGTCATACTCTCTACTTTGTATAGTCCATCAGGTCAGAGAATTCGTTGATCTCAGTTTGAGTCCCATCAGACTCGACCATCATCAACTTTGCTCCCTTCTTCTTCCACTCCTGAGGACTCTTCTTCTTTGAGTCATTCTGTGAGGTGGGTTGAGCATTGCCTAGAGTGGCCTCCAAATCTAAAGCCTTCCTAGACAATGTCTCAAACGAATGGTACTCTGTGCGTGCCTCGCTGGCCATCAAGTTCCTGATGTTCTCTATGAGACATCTGACAAACGTAGTCAATAGGAACTGGTCGCTGTAGTTAATGCCTGGGACGAGGATCTGGCTCTCAACGGTAGTCGTAAGCTCTCTAACCGACTTAAAACTTTCGTTGGTCTAGTTTATTAATGGCATCAGTGGCTCTTTGTGCCTCCTGTGGGTTATGCCATCTAGCTTCTACCATTTCCATGAACTGGTCTAACGTCAGTGACTTAGCCCAGTCCGCCATGCGTCGCCCGTACCCGGCCTTCACAACTACACCATCTAGCCACTTGGCTGCCTTACCCTCGAGGTAAGATGCAGCAGTTACCACTTCGTCCTCTAGCAAGGTCCTCTTGGCCTTTACCCAAACCGGGACTGTCCTCAACCATGTGTTGAGTTCTTCACCCTTCCTCTCGCCTGAGAAGGCAAAAGGCGGTATCATTGGGGTCTTGCGGTACCATTGACCATGCTGCTGTCCCTGTTGAGGAGCAGGTTGTTGCGGTGGTGTAGCTCCCACCGCTGGACCCGAAGAAGAAGATGCAACAGTCTGTGCGACTGCTGCAGTCGTACCACTTGGCTGTGTGCCAGCTTGAACTGGAAAGGGGCTTGACATCGCCGACAACGGCAACGACGATTGTGCTGGTGGCTTGAATCCTGGCCTTGTCAATGCGTCCAGGATCTGGTCTAGAGTGCTTTGCATGAATTCTAATCAGTTGTCCACGTGTGCATGCAGTGACAGCATATTCTTCGTCAATACGTTCAGCGGGTCAGTCAATGCTGACTCATCCAAGCCCTCTAATTCAGCCTTGTCAGCCTCTAAATTATGAAGCCTGGCTGCTCTATTTTTTATCTCTTTCTCTCTATCGGTTGCCTTTTTCAAGTCCTCCTCTAACTTCTGGCGGAGCCTCTCTACCTGTTGGATCTCCCTGAGCTCCCTCTCACGTGGGGTCAACGGGCTGAACTGCAAGCCCGCCATTTGCCTTGAAGACTGTCTAGAACCTGTTAAATCGGAAGTGCCCGTGGAACTTGTGGAACTTAGTGGCATTCCCAAATGAGTCCCATTCGTTCCTGACGAGGACGCAGACGTTGACGCAGCAGAGCTTGAGCCGTTAGCCATCGCAGCTGCTCTGGCTGCTGTTGCCAGCTCTCTAGCTGCTGCGTTTGCTGCTGCTATCCCCGCTGCTAGCGCATGGGCTCTACGTAGCCGTCTTTCTTCTCCCTGTTCTAAGGCCTGAAACACGTGCGGTACCCTTAATGCCCGTGCACGTGTTAGTCTCCTATTGTCAGCTCTATCATCAACAGGGTCTGACCCACTCATTAGTTAGGCAGATAGTATCTGCACGAGAATCCCCTAGTGGAATCCAACCGCAACATGTATATGTCCGACAAGTCCCCTACTGTACCGATCAAGTGGCATGTCTATAACATTCACACAAATTGTCTTCATAGTCTAGATGTAATCTGATTGGTTCACTTACGGCAGTATTAGACGGAACTGGCTATGGTGGCATACAACAGTCCTAATCTAATCTGTCTGTGAGGTTAGCAGTCCGTCCACCAACTAATCAAGAGTACAAAATGACCATGTAGCAGATGTATGATTGATGGGTATGGTTGTGTTTTCAAATGAGCATCAATTGGAACCTACCCTTCCCCTCAATCTAACATACCGGACAACATCAATGAGCAAGCAGTGTCTTCGTGTGTATTTCGGTCCACCCCTGTGCCCAAGTCGTTACCGAGCAAGCCAGCCCAACCACTCTTATTTACCCTCGTACGACGATGAGCCTTCTTGTCCATGTGAGCTGGCTGATCAGGAGGAATTTATAGAGCCCCCCCATCTCTGCAGGAATTATTTAACGTCGCAGTCAGGACGACGATCACAGCCAGATTCACAATGAACTCCCAACCAGAAATGTTTATAGACGGTCTGGTAAGCGTCTGTCATGGGCTGGCACACCCGGAAGGACTTCTATTTGGCGCAGCAAGTGCCAACAAGGACAGCAGCCATCGCATGCGTGCACTACTCCCTGTGGGTTGGCATGGTGACCGTGACCCAGTGCTTCGACCAGGGCCCTTTAGAGGCATCGCCCTTTCTCCTTCCAGATGTTTCCGGGAAGATTGTTGTCTCTCAAGGTAGCGCGCTCACGACACCTCACCAAGGAGAGGACTCTCAAGTTGTTCTCACTTCCTCACGGTAAGAAGAGACATAGAATGTAGATAAGGTAAGGGATCAACATACCTGGAGATAGCTGCCCCCAACCACAGATTTCTCACCAATTGAGCTGAAGTTGAGTTTGATGACCGGTCATGACCTCGGTACCACCCACAACGCAATGCAGTGCCACCTTAGTCCAATGCCACATCAGCATGCTCTCATCATCAATCAAACATTCCGCTGTAACCCACGGCATATACTACCGTAAAAGCCTTCCGACGCACCCCTCTCTACCCAGGGCGCGCGCCTATAGTGGCCTGACGTCACAAGTACCCACTGCGAAGAAGCATCGTCAACGCACCAAGTCTGTATAACGCCAGCGTGCCAAAGGTAAGTGGCGATCAAACCAGCTCCGATACCAAATTGCAAGGAACATGAATATGGACGAAGCACAAAAATCCAGAATGCAAAATCACACTGAAGTCCAAGTAGTCAAAGCCAAAGCAAATAGTACAATGGAACCAAGTAACCATCCAATTGAGAATGATACAGAAGAATCCTGAGTCAATGTCCATGCCCAACAGGGCAACAACAACAACATAACCCAAATGTAGGTCTCTCTTGTGAATGGCGCCAGGCGCCCTATCTACTCTACAGCCTATCCTACAACTACAGCAATGAAAGCAACCAGACAACTTGACTACCAGCGAGTGATGATGTCAACACCAATGCCGACCTCCACCTCCACCAGGTACGTGTCCTCTTCACCCACACTCTTCCATGTTACCCACACAGCGCCCTTCACCTCCGAAGACCACCTTCGCCGTTCACCCTG